GGTGCTACTTATGGAATGAAGTGGTTGGGTTTTAAGCTTGATCAAAACAATGGATAGTGATCTGCAGTGGTGATCTGCAGACAATAATGTTAAAGGTTGGAAGGATATTCACCTGAACTGTTAACGGAGCGATAAATCACTCCTGAAGTTGCACTTAGAGTTTCAGTATATTAAAACAAAATGGCGATGAATGAGTTAGGTAAAGTTTTAGCTTTAGCAAACTATTTAAAATGTACAATATACAAATGTTTAATAAAGCACACATACCTAGCCTGACCTAGGGTTAAAAAAAAAAAAAATCAACTTATTATTATATAATATAAAAATATATTAAATCAAATCTTAAGAATAATATTATACTTATTTAATATAATTGAATTAATACTATTTATTAGAATTATTATTTAAAGTTTGTTATTGTTAATTGATCAAAAAACCAATAAATTATTAAGTTAAAAAAGAAAGAAAAAAATAATTAATTAAAAAAAAAAAACAATATAATATTTTATTCAAAAAATATAAAAATAAAGTCATTCTTTTCTCAAAAGAGTTGTTTAATTGAAATATTTTTCTTGTTTTACTTGAACTTTAAAAGAGATTTTTTTGTTATCATTTATAATATTGGACAAGTCAATTCAACAAATCCTTTATTTAAATAATATCAAATTGAAATATATTAAGAAAAGTATTTAAATTTTGATTTTTGTTTATTAAAATTTTGTTACTTCTTAAGAAAATTATTTAAAAATTAAAAATTTGCAATCTATATTGTTTATTTCTTGATTTTTTGATATTAAAAATATCTTTTTTAAAAGACTTTAACTTTTGAAAGGTAAATATTTCTAAAATATTCTTTTTAATTATCAATAATATTATTAAATTATATAATAATAATCAATAAGAATTTGTTTATATTTTATAAACTAACATGTTTTATGTTAGTTAATTATTTTTAATAATAATTTGTACTATTCAAAATTCAAGATCAAATTGAAATAGGCAAGTTTCTCAAAAAATATAAAGTGAAAGCTCTAAGAAAATTAATATAGTTTGAAAGAAATAAAATAAGTTTTTTTATTATAATAGAATTTTTATAATTTTTTATTATAAAGGTTAAAAAGGTTTTTAAATACTTTATAATTAGTTTTTCTTTTTTTAAAAACTTTTTTGTCATTGATATCAAAAATATTATTTAATTTTTCTAGATTATTAGAAGTTAAGTTTTTGAATGAGAAGGTTTATAAATAAAAGAAAAAAAGTAAAATAACTTTTGGATTCATAATTCAAGTTATTTTAAAAAAAGTGTTAAGACTTTATTAATAAAGAAGTAAAAAAACTTTTTATAAATATTTTTTTGTATTTAATTAGAGGATTAGTAAAAAGAGATTTTCTAAAAAAACAATAAATTATTAAAATAATTAAAGAAAATAAATTAAAAAAACAATTTAAAGTTTCTTCAAAAGATTCTTAATCCATTTAACAATTTTTTTTTAAAAGAGATTTGTTTGATTAAAATATTTTTTAGCTTTATGATATTTGAGAAACTTAATTATTTTTGAATAATAAGACTCTAAAAAAATATTTAAGAGATTTATTCTTTTACTAATATATAAATATACATATATTAATTATTGATAACAATATTATATTATAGAAAATTATATTATAGAATAGTTTGTTTAACTAGAATAAAAAATCTTTTTAAAAATTTTGACTAATTAAAATAGAAGCTTAAAGATTTTGGTTTTTGTTCAATAAAGTTTTTTTATTACTTAAAGAATTTAATAAAAGAAAAGAGTTAACTATTAAATTACTCATTATTTATTTTTTTTTAAAAAACTAATATGTTTTATGTTAATCAATTATTTCTGATAAATATTATAGCATGTTATCTAAAAATTTAGAATCAAATTGAAGTAATCAAATTTTTAAAAAAATTATAAAAGTAGAAATTTTGAAAGAATATAAATAGTTGAAAAATAGGAAATAAGTTTTATTACTACAAAACAAATTTTTATAAAATTTTTTTTTAAAAGTAAAGAGATCTTTATATAGTTTACAATTGGTTTTTTTTTCTTTAAGAACTTTTTTGTTATTGGTAGTAAAATATTACTTGATTTTTTTTTTAATTATTAAGAGTCATGTTTTTGATTAAGGAACTTTGTAAACAATGAAAGAAGTGTAGTAGTAGTTCTTAAGGATACTCTTCAAGCTATTTTAAGAATAATAGTAAAACTTTATAAGTTAGAAAGTTTAAAAATAATTTTATTTTCTTGAATTAAAACAAAAATAAAAAATAACAAATAATAACAATAGAAATTATAAAATAATCTTAAGTAAAATTAATTTTTAGGTATTCACGTATTTACCGTATATTTAAAGTTCGATTTGGTTCAAATAAATTTCTATACTCTTTAGCATATTAAGAAAAATTCCAGTTTTTATTTTTCAAGCCACTGTAAATTAAAATTTCAAATTTAATATACAGTATTAAATAAAAAAAGCTTCTTATAATTGTCTATCTGCATAATATTAGATTTACCACGAGCAAATAATGTAATGTACTTATTTTCTGAGTGTATGCTTCTTTTAATGCATGCTACGGAATTGGTTCATAATTGATTGCATAACTTATAGTGGTGTGAAGATATATTCGTGCATACTGTAAAAATCGATTATCGGCGTTACTTTTTCGGCGATGATTGTGCATACATGTACTGTATTTCTTTGTTCAGAATAAATAATTATGGCACGCCCGCGTGGAAAAGTCCGACTTTTGATTGACAACATTTAAATGAAAAGGGAAATTTCATTATTAAAGACCTTAATAACAATTCACTAATGATGTCTGCGATAAATTGCAAGACCAATTTTTGTGAGGCATAAGTTGCAGCTTTCATTTGGATAATTATTTTCGAAGGCGGACGGGTATCTTTCTGACTTTATAATTTGTACTCCTAGAATTGATATTGTATATGTAATATTCAAAAAACAGGGACCGAAAAATCGATTATAACATTTTTATCGTTTTCAAAAGTAATTATCCATTTGAATAGGTAATAATTTTTAAAGATTTGTTTATAACTCATGAGCGTCATTATTTACAGATACACAAGTGCATGCATATAATAAATATCGGACCTTACAGAATAATAAATGATTGATGCGCTGCGTGCGCGCCTTTATCTTACAAACTATTGAACGAATGACTTCCCCTTAGGGCCTCCGAATAGGTTGAATTTAAGGGTTTTCTACGCATGATTGCTCGGCACCATTTATGCACGTACGGATGGATATTTTCGCGTGTCCTGCACGGAATTCGTACGCCTGTAGATTATGTATCATGGATTATTGATAAGATTTGTTATTGGTGGACCTTAACCAAGTAGCACAAATAATCTATTTATTATAACGGAAAGTTGTGCATTGAAATTCCCACCACCTTTTATCTTCGAATCCTTTATTTAATTGATTTTCCCTTTATCGTTTTAGTTCGCGAAAAATAGGAAATAATCGCAAGATTGCTTGCCTTTTTACCATTAGTGTATTAACCATAATAGTTTTACTAATCTATCTTTCAATGAGATGTCGAAAGGTGATTTCTTCGATACAACATTCTGTTCAGATCCTTGCATCAGAAGCGCAAGTGATGATTAAAACTGTTTACTAAATCAAATCCATAAAAGAATTAAAAGAATTCACAAACCATCAGGCTTTAAATAACAAATAAGGTTGCACGGACTAATTAAAAAACGCGCTTTGTTTAAATAATTGGACTGATGAGAAGAAAACTTTGATGTTTGAACTTAAAAGTATGTTCTTATGCTAACTAGAGAAAAAGTTTATTCGACCAAGGGCAAGTTGAATTCAACCATTTGATCCCTCAATTGATTACTCGTTTTGAAGCGTATAAATTCATAATTGGGCTTGTCACATGTAAATAATAATCTCTGGGTGTCCATTCAAATTTTGTGCAAAAAAAAAAAAAAAAAAAAAAAAAAAAGAGATTGAAATTTTCGGCAACAGTTCCAAGATTAATGTTTGTGTGATACAATTATATTACACTCCAAAATAGGAAATCTAATTAATCACATTTCAAAAAGCTACTACATTTGGTAGCATGACAACAAATACATGCGTCATATGCCAACTATGTGGATTGGAAATTTACTTAAAACAAATGTATGTGTTGAATGAAAGTATAAATACGTGATCCATTGAGATGTTCTTATTAGGTCACACTTTCGTTTCAAGAAGTATTTGGGTATTGAGATTTTCTAAACGCAATTTAAAATGTGAGTGTTTCATTGTCACGGCTTAAAAGAAATTTCTAGGTAACCGTCAACAATCTATTTATTTACTCATCCTGCCTTTTCATTAATTCCTTCCTTCATCAGGAATCATCTTGGATATATTCTCTGAAATAATAAGGTCGACCTACAGCACACAATATTCCTTCTCTTAAATATTATCGTTATTCCTTGCTTTAATTGTAATTTAATGCAGTATAAATAAATATATTGCACATCCCTTTCATGAATTTACGATAAACAAAAAAGTTTTCGCGTTGGTTCGTGTACTAATTTACAGCATACACTCTCCTTATTTTTTAACAAATAATAACATTTATTTTCCAATAACATGTATTTAGATTCTTTAGAGAATTTATAGAAGATTTCAACACATGAGAAAAAATTAAAAATTTTAAATACTATGTAAAATGAATAGATTTCATCAAGATTCCCCAAGTTCGACAGCCTATGGTTTCAGAAGAGATCTTTGTAATAGCAATGAGGAAGATAGTGGTGCAGACTTTTGTAATGAATCCGGTTCCGCAACTCAGACGCAAACAGGATCTCCTAAACTCCCCACCACAAACTCGTTCTTTACGCCGTTCCCGTCGTCGTTAACCTCGGATCCCTCTAATGCTGCACAACCACAGTTATCGTCACAGGTCTCAACATCAACATATGGATACTCTCCTCGGAGCGTCGGATCTGTCACAAGCAATGATAGTGCAAGCAAAACTACAGAGATTTATTACTATGGACCAGTGTATTCATCCGACATAATTCAAACCTCAAAAACTTCGATAACCAATTCCTATGATAAGGCGACATTTTCAACGGACATTTATTTTAAGAAGATGGTGTTTGCAATTGGTTTAGTCACGTCGATAGGGTTGCTAATATTAATTATATTATTACTGAAAAAGAAACACAAAAAATCAATAGATAACTCTTCATCGTTTCCGCAAGATGATAGCAATCATAGTCAAGGAATACAAAATGTCAGGGTCCCGTCGCTACCTTCCGCCGTAATAACTCAAAACTCAAAAATAGAAGCTTCCGAGGTGTACCCTTCACCAGAAATTAAAGGAATTAATAGAAAAGATTCTAGCATATCTATAATAATTGAAGAAATAGACAAAGAGATACTGATTTTAAAAGATCCCGTAAATTGGGAAGAGTGTATGTTGTAAATAGATTATATTTTTTTTGTGAATAATAAATAGTAACGAAACATCAAAATTAAAGTATGAAACTTACTTGCGCAAAAATATTGGCCCAAAGCAAATTGCTTTACTGTACTTGCACACGAGTGTTATGGACGAGTTGACGCGACAACTCTTTGGAAATGGAACCCTGTTAGTCATAACCATTATCCTCCTTAGTGCACGCACATAATTTTTAGATAGGACATTTACTGCTATGCACAAATGAGGAGCCCTCCGATTTAATATGTGAGGATTTGATTCAATGATTTATCCGCAAAACCGAATTTTTTATGATCTTGCAAGAAACGATTGTATTGTACAGTATGTTGAACCAAGAATTCATTTTAGTTTCAATTTTAATTTTAATTTTTTTTAAAAAAACCTTTGCAATTTTTAAAAATACAGAAGGTATCCCAATCGAATAATTCGTGCTGACAAAAAATCGACATGAATCCTAAGTCGATATTAATATCTTTGACATTTGGTACATAACCGGTTAAGTGATCTTTATTGAAATGCGATTTATAAAAAAACCAAATAAAAATAATATGCCACCGTCATTGCTAAAAAATCCGGACCCTTTAATATACAAAAGAATACTGTAATTGTCCCAACATTAATTAATACTGATATCGTTTATTACGACAAAGTTCAATCTTTGCTTTGATCGACCAAAATATGTATTGATAATTGTGTTTCTATAATGATACAAACATGGATTGACGATTGTTAGAGAACCCTGAGCATGTAAAATTCTAGTCGTACGAAACTTGGGTTACGCGAAACGTGAAATCGCGCAAATAATGAAAACAAAACCTGAAACTTCGATTGTACGAAATTTAGACCATGCAAAGTTTGAAATTTGGGTTACGTGATTCACCGGAGAGAAATTTTGGTTAGTCAAAACTTGGATACGTGGAAATTGAGTTGCGCAAATTTGAACCGCATAAATCTTGGGTCACACGAAATTTGAGTCGAGTTAGGTCACGCAAAACTCTGGATGCACAAACGCGGATTGAATGGTATTTTGATGGTGAAATTTGATCACATTATTTATTTATCAAATATTTTAAACGCGATCATTTGCTTATAGGATTTGCCAATGATAAAAAGTAAGTACTTCAGGAATATATTGTACCAAATAGATAATTATTGGTTTGGTATGGATAATATTATTGCATTTACTGTATTACTCCAATTACATTGATTATATTGAAGCTTTATATTAAAGCATTTAATAATTTACTGTATCTACAAACGTAATATTTATTGATCAATTATTTAATACTAAATCCCCCCCCAAAAAATTTTTTTATCTAATAAGTTTATATTGTCTTTTATTATGTTAGATTAAATTATTTATTACGACATAACCTTAAATTATTTTTTATTATATGGGTAATTATTTTTGAAGATAAACCAAAAATTTTTTGGACCTAAAATTGTAACCCCAAAATTATATTTTAA